AACAGTTACAGATAAAGCACTAATCTTATGGAGAGACTACAGTACTATGACCAAAAATTGCAAAGTTTTTAGATGTCCATTGTACCTTATTTCAATTGATTCCTGAAAACCAGGCCTCTGACTATCTATTTGAAGATAGCAGCCATTAGTAAACGTCTGCGTTTTCATTTCAGTGCCTATAGTGGCAAAACAATATATAAAAAAAACAGACTTAGAAAAATGACACCACTTTTTATTTTTCACATGCCTTTTAATGACAGGAAAAAACAAGCAAACAAACAAAAAAAGTTGATATTTTTTAACCATATTTATTATCTTATTCGCTTTCAAGGTTTCTCAACATTTAGTGGAGAGAAAAAAAATGTAAATTGAAATTAGAAAAAAAATTCAATCCAAAAGCGAAATTTTGCAAATGTTTTAATCAACAAAGGAGCTTTACTTATCTGTTTTCTCAGTTTTTGGTGTGTTTTTTTTTCCAGTTTTCTTTTTTTTATTTCTTTTTATTAAAAGTTATAGTATTGACAGTATTTATATTTTGAAAATTCATTTTATTCAAATGCTTTTTTTTTAAATGTATAGAATTTCTTCTAATTTATTTTTTTGTATTGAGTTCATCCAATTTCATTCTTTTATTTTTTATATTTAGTTTGAATTGTATTCATTGATCTTTTAGATCACATTGTTCTTACCAATAGAAACGCACACTATTAAAGCTAAGTTGACCAATACATTGTTGTTGTTGTTGTTATTTTCCATGTTGACCAATAGAAATGCGTCTTCAGTCCTTACTGAAGGAAATTTGCGAAGCTAAATCTGGACAACAAAAAAAAAAAAATGAAAATATAAAATGTGATAAAACAGAAAAGTTAATTTCTTACATTTTTTTATTTTCTGAGTTGCTATTTTTTTTCTTTCGATTTTTAATTTAATGTGTTTTTTCAAAATTCCTTGATTGCGACACTAATGGAACCAAATCCGCTCCATGAATCTCCATCTGCTGTTGAACGATGAAGCTTGATGTAGCCCATTTATCTGCTACATTGTAGCGGATAAATGGGGAACAGAGACTCTTTCCTGTTGCAGATCTATATGACAGGACAGGATGTGTTTGATTTGTTGGATCTCTCTTTTTCTATTTTTTATTAAAAAAAATAAAATAAAAAATCCCAGCATTTTAAAGCAGAAAGGGTCTTCCTCTTTTGCATTTCACCCTGGGGCTTATAATGTTTGGACTCTGTGTATTTTTTATGGCTGTTAATATAAGTGTCAGGTGTTTGATATGTAAATGAAATGCTAATAGAGCGAACCAATCAGCCTTTAGCGACCAGGAGGAGG